GTATAGTTATTAACATGCTAGTTGAAATTATAAAGAAAATTATTATTCATAGATAATCGTGGATATCCGAAAGTCGATCGCGTATGGGTATTGTTTTGATATTCTACCCGATGCTTATAAGTTATATGAGTATGAATATGTTTAAAAACCGAATTACTTTAAGTAGAGGAATGAATATGCACTATCCGAATCCGACTCATTGTCATCTCTACTCGTATTAACATTTTAATTGATGACATTGTTATACATAAAGCCAAATTTAATATAAAATATATAAAAAGAGCCAACGAGAAAAACAAACACATTACTCCAACAATAGCACAGTCTCAACAAAAACAAACCCATTCACGTAAAGCTAAAAATGGTACCAAATCTAAAGTTTTTAATGAACAATAAAAATGATTCATCTTTATATATATACATATATGGTTCAGGCTAGCGTGCACTTGGTGTACGGTGTACGCCTGCGTTCACACCTATAAATTAATTATTAATTATTTTTAATTTAATTATAATTAAAATAATTATTAATAATAAATACAATTACAATCATATCCACTTATTAATTTTTGTTTACGTTTTAGTCCCATATTAATTTTTATGATACATTCCACCGAAATCAATCATTTAACTAATATTCCTCTAAACTATAGTACTTCTTTTACCAAATTATAAATCTAAACCACCCAAACTTCATAATTATCTACAACTTCATTGCTCCTGCCATTACAACTCATCATCTTGTCGTTTTGTCATCATTCATCTCTTCCACTTCGTCTTCTTCATGAGAAGTGAGAGACTGCATGTATCCTCCTTTCTCCTTCTCGATCCTCCTTTCCCTTATCTCCCCCAATTCAGGTCGACTCCACCACTGAACAAACACACCCCTTCTCAAGTTAGACCCCAATCCTTTGTAATTTTTAGGGTTTCTCATCTCTCCAGTTTGAATCTCATCCGCAACTTTTGATTGATCGATTGAGGCGGATGAACTGCAGTTCTCATGTTGTTACCTTATCTCCGCCAAATCAGATCGATCTAAACCCTATGAAAAGTTCACACTCACTTTGCTCATCCCCTGAGCCCCCTTTCTTGTTTTGCCTGTTGCATGGAGCATTAGACTACGCCAACATCCCCTTTCCCTCCTGCCCACGAAGCTTTTCTGTGAGTTCTTTCCATGGCGAGGCTTCTTCTTTGGAACGCTTTGTTCTTTTGCAATTTTCCTTCCCTAAATGAAAAGAAAGAAGAGCTGTCAGGTCGTCGGGACTATATAAAGGCTCCATTCTCTTCTTTGCTCCATAGTTCACGGCGGGGAGGCAAGTTTTCCCTTTGTTCCACCCAAAAAATCCTTCTTTCCTCAATTAATTACTAATAGATTCCGCGTTTTTTAATCTCAAAATCTCAGAATCGGAATTTTTCTCTGATCGTTCACCCTTCCCAATCTTTCTGATTGCTAAACGGGTTAAAACTTAAAAGGCAGAGGAGAAAAGAAAGCCTCCCCCGTCATTGCCCCTTTTTCCTCTTTATAGCCATTTCAAAATCTGGTAAGCGAGCCCCATTTTCTCTTTGCTTTCTCTGATCCAAGGGTTTACAGTGTGTTGTGTTTTGGCTGTGTGGGGAATGGAAAAGTTTGTAACTTTTTATGGCCTAATGCTGGTTTCCTGGACTTGTCACAGATTTTACCGTGAGAGGATTCTGGGTCTGGTTCTCAGAGATTGCTTGCAGTTATTCAATTGTTTGGAGGTACTAGGTAGAGAGGAATGGGGTACATTGGTTCCCATGGAGTTGCAGTCTTCACAGATACAAGTACAGCGGAGTTGATCACTCCTATCTTGCCAAATATGTCCTGCAGCCCTTCTGGTCATGATGCGTCAACTTCTTTCCTCTATGGATGTCGTAAGTTGGTTTCCTTTCATATTTCTGCTTTCAGTGAGATAAGTAGTTTAGAATGTTGAGTATGAAGGGTGTAAGCAAAAGCTCAGCTGTTCTCATGCTGGTAGTGGCTACTTTAGTTCCATGCTAATGATTTCACTATGATTTCGCTTAAAGAAGAGTTATGATTATTCCTTAGTCACCTCTAACCGTTGGAAAATTTGATCATTTGAAAGGCTTAAGGACTTGCTGTCCTAATGCTTCAGTTATCCGGGTTTAGTTGGTTAAGGAAAAGTTTGTGAAATGCAGAATCATATATGTCACATAGTTTTGTTCTGGCTAGCTACGGCAGGGAGTTAAGCTGAGTTGTATGGCGTGTCATTTTGTGTTCTGTTTCAGCTCTCCTTCTCTTGAAATGGCTAGTCATGCTTTAGGTCTATGTGTTTTTCATTCTCTCTAGTTGGAATAGAGTGAGAGTTGGCTTATTTTTGAAGGTATAAGAAAATTGAAGTTTGATGGAAGTGAGTTGGTCTGTTTCTTGATTTCTTAAGCTTATATTTGTTGGTACACATGAGTCTTATCTCAGTCCTCATTAAGTATAATGATCAACTTTGTAACAGGAGAGTGCATGATCAACAATTAATCATTTTCACTAGCTTATCAGTAATGCTTGGCTTCCTCTATGATTTCAAAACCTCTAGTTAGTTTATTATTTCTTGCCTCAGTTTGCTGCTAATTACTGGTTAGCTTCTTCTATTTGCTTAAGTCAAAATATGTTGGAGCTGCTTCACAAGGTTTAATACTCGAGTGAAACTTCAAACTCCATGTACTTCAGCTCTTCTAGCTAAATCCATCGCCTGAAACTGAAACCCATGACTGGACCTTGCGTCCTCAGCAGAAGAGATCTTCTGTCTCTCAAGGTTTGGTTTACAACTGGCTCCTTCATCCGAACGGTTGCCTGGTCCCTGTCTTGTAAGTGTGTTTATTTTACTTCTTATGCAGGGGAGAAGAGTCGAGCTGTGATGGTTCCCATGTCCTTGGTTCAGTCATTCCCACCTGCACATGAAACATCGCAAGGAGAAGTGAGGAACAAGGTCCCTAATATACTAGGACAGACCACTAGTATTGACCATGGAAGGATTCGAGCTGGCTTTTCCCTATTTAAGGAGTAATGGACAAGATTTGCAGATACGTGAGACTGGCAAGGAGGTAAGTGCCAATCAATCTGTAAATGAGTCATTCGATCAAATAACCCGCAAGGAGTTCATTCGATCTCGTCGAATACAAAGGCAAAATTTCATCCCCGGACAGGTTAATTATTACTTGGTTTTGTTCTTGATATTCATAAATCATCGAAACTACTGAGGTGATGCTTGGATGTTTGAGGGAAACGACTCATACATCTTCACCGTATTTGGGTTAGGAGCTTAAGAGTAGGCATGTCTGGTGCCATTACTGTTCGTACTCTTTAAAAAGTAAGATAGCTATTTGTATGCATAATAACTATATTATCGTGAATGGAAACTGGTTTCTTAGTTGCATATAGAAAGATTAATCTGTATAAGGAAACTGGTTTTTTAATTGCAAAATAATATTAAAGCTTTTTTATTAGACTAATTGGTATATGGAAACTGGTTTATTAGTTGCTGAATAATAAGAAAGCCTATTATTACTTATTAGTCTAAGCTCTCGATTTGGTTAATAGAACCGGAGGTGTCTTTAAATGGTCCATACCCTATTGTTTTGTCTTCTATATAATTGTGTGTTGTGCTCCCTTTATTTGTCGTGCTTTGGTGCTTACTTTCTGCATTCTCCCTCTTAGGTAGTATCCTGTTTCTTTTTGGAATTTCTTGTTGTTTGTTGTGATTCTCATCTTCATTATGTCCTGTCACTGTGTATGCAGTTGCTGCTTTCATTCGGATTGTTTCTTGTGGAAGTGAAGATCATGGATCGAACTGGGTAATATGCATCATCTCTTTCAAACGTTTTTAGTCATCATCTCTTTTTATATTGTAAGTTTTTCGTCTCGTATTACTTATGACAACTTTTTCTTTGGCCATTTAAATTAGGGATAAGGGCTATCAAAACTTCCTGATGGATGCTGCGAATATATCAGGACCCAAGAGTAGCATTACTGGATCTTTTTCAAAGGCTGGGGTTGGTGGTCACATTTTTTATATTTGTAATTATAATATGTAAAGGTGTCGAGATTTTCCCCCTCACATATTTTTCTTCGTTTGGGCTCTGTTGGGCTGTAATTTATTATGGCTCGCTTGGCTCTAATTTATTTTAGGGTCGTTTGTACTCTAAGGCTCGTTTTCACTTTGTAATTTTTTTGGTTAAAACTTTTGGGTTTTGTTCTAACCTTGCAGCAAGAACACAGATTGCAATGAGTTCCCATATACAATTAATCACATTTCTTTATTATACATTATTTTTAGCTTTATATAATTAATTAATTGCAACGAATGTAATGAACTTATTGACTATTTCAACATTTTTTTTTTTGTCGACAATATCGTTCTACCAACCCTATACGAAAGATTCTTTTTTGAGAGAAACGGCTAAGTCTACTGTGACATCGAGCACAAATGTCATTGTTATTGATGACGATGATGATTTGTTGGGAGGAACCGTTAAGTCTCCTGTGACACCGAGTTCTTATATCATTATTATTGATGATGATGATGACGAGCCTTATTTTGAAAGCAAAAAGAGAATTAAATCTTTCTCGACCTCTACCAAGGAAAAGGTATTTTTTGTTACTAGAATAGTTTTGTATACTATTATTAATAAGTATAGGAAACTCTCTAATAATTTAGTTTTGCATGGCAGTTTGTGATGCAATTTCCTACCACCAAGTACACGAAGTTGACTTTAGAAGAGGTTCATCTGGCATACTATATCTTTGCAAAAGATCTTGATGGTCAGAATATATTGGTAAAAAATGGTTCCCACTTTTGTACTCATCTGTCGCTGTGGAGCTTGTTGCTTAACAAATGGGTACAAGATTATGTAAGTGTTGGTTTTATTTACAAAATTTTCACATTATTCATTTATAAATAGTCACATTGTTTGTTGTTGTGTTGAAGGTTATAACAAGTTGTGCAAATTTTCTCAACCTATCTGAGATGTATGAAGAACGACGTGGAACCCCGTTTCAATTGTGCTTCCTCCCTACCCAAATGCAGGTAATGATAATATGGAACACTAACACTCACATTTTTGTGAATATTAAAAACATGTATTAATTTTTGTTTCAATATGATCCAATAGGTGGGAGTGGAGAAGTATGGTTATAGTCCTGAAAAGTTATTAAATAATTATCATTCTAGCTTCTTGCGTAATGCTTATGGATCCAAGAAGGTAGACATTTAACGAATATCTCATTCCTATATTTTTTTTGTATATTTTGTTTAAGGATGATGATCTTCATGTTGATATTTGGCAGGTCTATCTACCATTGAATGATGGCACTCATTGGTATTTGGCAGTGGTATTGACAGAATCAAAACAAGTACATCTGGTTGACTCATCACCTGTGACAGACCGCAATGGAAATCGTACAAAAGTTGTAGGACGCATGGTTAGTACACTGTTGAACATTTGCCACGAGTTTGTTTCGTAATCAAACTTATTTTAGTTAAGTACATTTCATTGTTTATGCACATGACATTTTTACATGATTTATTTGAAAAGCTATACTCTGAGCTAGAGAAGATGAGTGAAGTGCCAAACAACCGCAATTTTCAGTTGATCATTCCTGATAAGGTTCCTATACAAGAAAACGGGTAAATGATATGGATATTGTCTAAGATTATTTTAAAGCATTTGATCATTAATAAACTTACATAATAGCTATTTGTATTAGATTTGATTGTGGCATGTGGGTTTGCTTATGGATGATGTACTCAGATGCCATAATGGATACTGTGTTGGGGTAAGGAAGCATACACTTAATTTTTATTAGTTCAATCACAATAGGATCTCATGTTATTTTTCTTTGTATTAACAAAAAAATTTTACAAAACCATAACAAGGTGGACCGAATGATGTTGGCACTAAAATTGGTGGGCTGGCCGCAAAATTCGAAGTTGGAGAAAATCCATCGTCATGCTCGTGGACACTCATCTATGTGGAAAGACATGATCCGCAAAGACATGGTACTCATGCATGGAGATGCCAGAATTTGAAGCTGAAATTTTTTGTCACCAGTTTGAAATTGGAAAGTAGATTGGATCGTTGTTAGGATTATTTGAGTCAAGTTGAATTATTTGCATTTAAACTGGTTTGTTTGAATTATTCGAGTCAAGTTTGGATTATTTGAGGTTAAACTGGATTGTTTGGGTTAATGATTTGAGAACAAGAGGTTTATTTGTTTAGCATCATATTACGGATTGATTTTTTGGTGGACAAAGATTGTTAGAGGCTATAATAGTACATGGCCAAATTAGGATAGATAGTGGTAATTTTGAGCTGTGGAGGAGCAACCATGAGAGAATAGTTACATGGAGAAAGGCCAAGTTCAAGCTACCAATGAGCTTTAAAACATCGTCCCCTACCAGTTTAAGAGGAAAAAATATAAAAAGACCAAGTTCAACCTACCAATGAGCTTTAAAACACACAAGCAACTCTGTATGTACTATGTTCATCCTGGAAGAGACAAAATTTGGATCAGAAACTAACTCTGTATGACAGAACCTGCAAAAGTCATTCATTGAAAAAACTAACCGAACTCAGATTCCTTTAGCGAAAAGAAAGATGGGCAAGATGACTACAAGAATGGTTCTTAAGTTCAACATTTATACTTGCACAAAGAAACCCAGATGAACTAGATGCAGGAATCACGTTTGTGCTCTTGCCTGGAAGGCCACCCTCATTCCTGACAACCAAATATGGTCTTCAAGCGATCAACCAGCCTGACACACAACATATGATTTATGTCAGATGAAAGCAACAAGTTGCAAAAGTCTTGTAAAACTGAACAAGAACTAGGTCAAGAGACGCCACTCATCAAACAATTATGTCACTTATAAAGCCCTAAACCATTCCATCTATACCCATTTTGATCAAGTAGTTAAAGTTCATAACCAAAGCCCTAAACCATCTATAGTCATCCATGACCAAGATTCATGCTCATCTGAGTTTTGAATTACATTCATCTCCTCAGATATTCATTTAAGCAAAACCAGAGAAGACCAGAGGAACAAGTTGCAAACCTTTCGTTGATCTTGCTCCTCCATCGCTATTCGGTAACAAAATGTTTCCATCTCATAGCACTAACCTTGTCACTGTTCTTCCCATCTGCTGCCACAACAGAAAATGCTTTCCTTGAATATTATTTATCAATTCAACTTACATTTTCTTGAAACCCACAAAGACGGTAATCATTGATATTTTTTTATTATATTCGCATCAAGTCTCAAATTTCACAAATTCACGAGAACTAAATTACTCATACCGGATGTACTTTGGAGCCTTGCACCTTGTGATCTAGTCGACTTCCTTAAATGAGTTGCTGATAATCCTACAATGTCTAAGTGCGGGCGTGAGGTCATTCCTAAGTCACAGGTTCATTTTACTTGACAGAGAAGTAACTTAACATACATAAATAAATGCATATGTTCATGATCATGTAATGCTTGACTGTGTTAACTGTGTTTACTTGGAAATAATTTCGTGAAAAGGGGCCCCGATCTCAACTTAACTAGCACACCATCATGGTCACCAACTTACTTACTTAAAACATGAACATAACTTATAATGGGGGTTTCCTCAAATTGGAAACACAATATCGCACGCTCTATATGGCAGTTGTGTACCTCATAACTTACTTACTTAGAGACCGTGAACTCGTCTCGCGGTAGTAGCCGCAGATTTCTCCCTGGACGCCTCGATGTTCACGGTTACGGGGCAATTGTCACGGTCAGTTTTTTAGCACTTTTCGACCTCCAATCGACCCGAAACTCATCCTCGACCTTGCCACACATGCTAGGACCTGAAATGTATCAAAACAAGTACAACCTAGCGTGAAATATGTCGAGGGACGATAAAATGCAAAGTCAAACTATCAAGATATGAGGAGTAAAATGTGTACAACTGAACCCGAATCACTTATGCTTGTTTAGTATAATCTTCCACATAGTGGGAAGATATGAATTAGCTTACTTGAACATAACTTGTTCTCCTTGTCTTAAAACATATATTAGTGAGGCATAAGCAATGCAAGGCTTACTGAGACGTAAGAATTGAACATAACCAAACATAACGTAAAATATAGGAACATTACTTTACAACTTATCATAGTAACAGAATAATTCAAGTAGTTGAACTTAAATAAATTAAACCACGTAATGAAATTCGTTAAAGTGAGTTACTAACTAGCCCTATTGAACCAACACACCTTATAAATAAATAGATTGGATTGAAAATCCATCATCCAAGGATCGATGGAAGATCTCCCCGGTTAATACACATAACTTTGCCTCCATTATTCACTAACATGATGAAACCACGACATCAAAATACTTGGGTAATATATGTTGGAAATGAAACTTGTGAATAGCTTTTGAAATCTGTGTCCTAAGACAAGAATACCACATTGGTGGGAGAACTTTTACCAAATTGGTATAAAGATTGGGTTCTCTTACCTAAGGACATGCCCCTCTACATCCCAACCTTTAATTTGTTTCCCTCTCGTTAATAGCTAGGGGGAAAGGAGAGGAATCAGAGTTTTGGTGGTTCTGGGGAAAAACAAGGAGACCTCGTCGTGCGGTTTTCATTTTTCTACGAGTTTTAGTAATGTTTAGGGTAAATTGGGGTTAATGTTGGCTTAATTAAAGAATTAAATTTTGATTTTTAAATCCTAATTACTAACTGTCGTACGAACCCTTGATTCGATCCATTAATTTATTACCAATCAAACCTAAACCCAAAAATTTAGGTGTTGCATGAACCATTAGATCGAGAGAAAGAAATTTCAATATGAAAATCCATTTGGAGTCAACTTCTTTTCAATTAGCAACAATTTGACCAAAATAAATTTGGTTTTATAATTCAATTGCATGGCATCAGCCATCATGCACATGCATTTGTGTAGAGTTTTCCGATGGTACGCACTGATTGACAGTTGAATCAAGTCAAAGCATTTAATAAACTTGAATCGTACGTACGTAGTGCGATTAATCAACTTTAAGATAGCCTCCATCAAATAGAGTAAGTAAGAGAACTGAATCAGCTCACCTACTCAACCTGTGTTGATCCTAACCAAATGCATAGATTAATCATACTACATATTCTATTCGAAGTTTAATTAATCATATTCTTCTTGTTCCAGCCCTTCCTTTTTCATCTTCTTCTTGATTTCTATTTTTGAATTGTATTATGCCATCTGCGTATATAACCTGAAAACCACTGGATTATGATAAGATCCACCAAAATTTGTCTTCTAGGGAATATTGGTAAATTTGATAGCATGCCCAATTTTTTATCACCGTCTAGCAGATGAGAAGTTGGTCAACCAAAACTCATCTACCCGATCATGATCGTGTCTTATATCATATATATATATATTAATTAATCCGATTATTCAACTGGATTCCGTATGAAACTAGTGCTCAACATTCAAATCATGCTTACCTTCTCAATTTTTCATAATTCCCTATAATTTTTTAATGGTCGTTGGTACCAAGATTGGAATGAATTAGTGATTGCAATTTGAATCCGTCTCGCAGGTCTTATCCTACCTTACTCGCAAGAGTCTGGATATGGTGACAACATCATATTTATTGTTTTGTTGACAACAACATAAGATAGTCAATAGGAAGCCACCCTTCTCCATACTTTTTAGTTTTGTGGGTTGGCTGAATTTATGTAGGCTAAAAATTAAAGAAAGGACATAATGGTCAGTACCATTTTTTTCTTCCCATATCACCCGCGTGTATTGCATTTTCTTAAAGCATGGCGCGTGACCTGCAGTGCATTAATTCGCTAATTATTTTATTATTGTTACTAGACCATCTAATAGGGGTGGGCAATGGACGGGTTGGGTAGATTTTGGTCTCAAATTAACCTACCCACTAACTAGCGAGTTGAATAATTGTGACCTGCCATCCACCCACATACCTCTGCGGGTTGGGTTGGGTTGGGTGGGTGGCAGATGGGTGAGGTTGGGTCGTGGGTCAACCCGCAAAATCAATTCTCCAACTAGCCATTAAGAAAGTTGACTAATATTTATAATAAGTTCATAGCTAATTAGTAAGACTGTATCAATAATCTGTGATTTTGATATTGATTCGGGCCTAATTGTACATGTGTTGCCCCTGTTTTCCTTCATCGTTTGTGCCAATTTCGCTTCTAAAAGGGTGGTTTTACACTAGTTTCTCGTTTTTTAGTGTGTTTCAGGATTTAACAGGTGAAACCAGCCTCGGAGTCGAAAGTTGGACGGAAAAGAGTGAAAACCGGGAGAAGAGGTGAAAAACGGCGAGTTCACGGTTTTCCTTGGATGTTCACAGTCTTGTATGACACTGAAGAAGAGCCGTTGGCCGCGAACATTGATGCGTCCAGGGCCAAAATGCAAGTTACTGACGCTAATTCAGTTCACGGTTGCTAAGACCGTGAACAAGTGATGTTGGCCGTGAACCCGTGGAAGCAAAGCAGTGCGTTTTGGCGCCCAACTTCAGTTCATGGACGCGTTTCAGAGTTCACAACCGTGAACTGAGCTCGTTAAGTGTTTAAAAGCTGACCTGAAAGGAAGAGAGAGGGGGAGCCCATTGTGTGAGAAAGCCTTCTTCAGATTTTTAGAGAGAAAAGACGAACCAAAGGAGAAGGAAGCTAGGGTTTTGCTCTAAGTTGGGATTTGGGAAGATTCTTCCCAAGAGAAGTTCAGCACAAGGGTCTAGAAGATTGGAAGCCTCCCCCAAGATGGTTTCTACCTCTTCTCCTT